AAGAACATCCCTAACATCTCAGCAGCACTCATTCTTCTTGAACCCTTTAATCCATAATTGTTTTACAATTCATCACACAATCTTATAAATACATCTTTGTCCATCCTGAACATATTATGGCAACGACTTTCATTTCCTTGTAACACTCCCATCAACCAAATATTTCCTGTATGATGGTCATTCATACACGGGGTCTTATGAATATATTTCACATAATAAAGTTCAATAAGACGTGCAGTGACACATATAATTTGGTTGATCTCCGCCTCATCTTCTGGAATGGCCATGTTCTAAAATAACCTGCAAATGTGTTTATTTCCTTCAAATATCATTTTCATTGTGCATACATGCTTATATAACATAAAATATAATGACAAGAATTAAAATATCACCCACAAATTCAAATAAAAGATCATCCAACATTAATTCAAATATCACTCACAAATTCAAAAAAAATTAACAACACAAAAACAAAACATAAATTAAAGTCACCAAACTAGCAAATTCTATCCTTCAGCTAACTCATGATTAAGAAATTGAAGCTTGAGGTCAGGATCTTCCATGACAACAAACATCTCTCTCTTCTCCTGAGCACAAAACAATTTAGTTGCAAACCACCATAACTTGCTACCACGCTCTAACCCAGGTAAAGTTGCAACATCTTTCATCACTTCAGCAATACTAGTTCCTTGTGAAACTGTATTAGCCATTGATGTTCCAGTACTCCTACTCTCAACCACCTCAACAAGACGTTCAATTTGCAGTGATAATTTTGCAGCACCTCCTATTTTCCCCCCTCCTTTACCTTTCTTCTCATTATTATCTTGAATTTCAAGTGATTGATTAGTTCTCTTTCTTGGCACATTGTTTGTAGTTTGAGTGCTTTCAATTGGCACAGACTCATTCGAATCACCGTTAACTTCAAATGGATTGATATCATCATCACTTTCAACTGGAAGTACACCAGATGAAGGTGCCCAAGAATGCTTACCAGTGGCAGTGACGTTCAAAAACATCCTATCTAACTTCTCCTCCATCTCAGGACTAATACCCTCAAATTGGAATCTTGCATATTTGGGTTCTGCCTGCATTATGACATATACAAATATTATAATGAATTTTTAAACATAGTTATATAAAAAAGAAAGGATATCTGTACTATATTAAAAACAACAAAAAATTAAAATACCTTAATTTTATCTTGCCACCATTCCTCAGATGCATCAACGGTATTCTTAGCAACGTTCCACCCAAGACCAGTTTCCTTCCCTTTTAGATCTTTCCACAATTTCCATTCTTTTTTCAGTAAATCCCACTTGTTTTTCAATTGTAATTTTTCATATGGTCTTCCTATCTCTTTACTAACATTTGTAACCAATCTTGCCCATCCAACTTTATTAAAGTGAGTACCAGGACGATTGCCTAAATCCACCTCCTTGATACAAAGGTCAATAAAGATGGCTATAATTTGAGCATTCCACAATGCTGACAATTTTCGAGATCCACTTGCAACATTTTCAGTTGTGGTGAAGTTACTATTCTTCTTTGCCATCTTATTGCAACAAAGACATTATATATAAGCACAAAAGAAAATAATAGGTATACAAGCGAATTACAAACAAACCAAATTATAGATAAGCGGCATAGAGACAGGGAAAAGAAAAACCAAAAGACAAGACAATAATGAAACATAAATTAACAACTAAGAAGAGTAAAACAGAATTGAAGAAACAATCTGCACCTTTAAGATATGCTAGAGCAAGGATCTCAAAGAGTAATGATACACACACAGAACAAAATAAACACCAACAGGATCTCTTTTGTCTATACGATATTTCCCAAATTATACAGAAATTGATAATTACTTCTTCCGACAATTGCATGCTGCAAGCCCACAAATTGATAAGCTCACAACAAGAGGAAAACTAACAGGATGAAATATGAAATAAAACAATTACTCAAATTGAACCAGTTCGTAGAATAACAAACAGCTATTGTTATAAACGAGTACATATTACTAATAAATGCAAAAGGACATATTACTAATAAATGCATTGTTATAACAAACAGCCATTTCTGCTGCTAATGTTTAAACGAGTACATATTACTAATAAATGCAAAAGGACAAGAGTAGTTCGTAGAATAACAATGTCCATTCGTTGGCTAGTACCAATTGAACCAGTTTTAAGAACTTGACCCCATCAGGAAGGGGCCCCAAAACCCAATATACAGAAAAGTCATTCTCATGCCAATATGAAATATAGAAAACAAACAGCAGCTACAATTGAAAGTTAAAATCCTAGAAATCAAAGAGAAAGAGGGAACAAGGAAATTGAAAATAAATAAACATAATATGTGGCTCTTACCTGAATCTTGTAGTTTAGTAGTGCGATTCAATTTATCCAACCAGAGAAAAATTAAAAAAGAAATTTAATTGATTATTCACAATGTTAAAAACTTAAATATAAATTATATGAATTTTTTTCTTTAGATAGAAATAATACCAGATGGAGGTTTAGGAAAATTCAAACTTTGATCACGTAAAGCCGATAGAAATATCCTTGTGTCATGAGCCGTGCCTTCCCATCCAGCACATGCAAATATAAATTGCATGTCAAAATTGCATGCAGCCATCACATTTTGGGTAGGTATCCCTTTTCTACCAATAAATGGTATTTGATTAGAAGGAGATACTCCAAACGGGCTGGGCTTCCCAAAATTTTTTAAAAATCACTTATCACCCCAAATAAGCAATGCCAAACGGGTACTAAGAAAACAGTGAGTGTAGTATTGACATTTCAGGTTTCATTCATGATATGATGCAATCAATTGTACAAAGATTTTGTTGGGGGTCGTTTGATGAACACCATTTCAATTTCATTTTTCTGAAAATTGAAAATATGTTTGGTAATAGATTTCATTTTTAGTTTTTAAAATCACCCTTATCTATATATAAAAAAAAAAAAAAATTGTTTTCAATTTTCAGTTTTCTTTTTCATTTTTTCGTTCCTATTGCATTTATTAATTTTATATCACCACACATGAAATGCACTCTAATCACCAAAAATTAGTATTTGGGACCTCCCAACTTAGACCCGGCTGATCGATTCTTGTGTTTGGCCACGGACCCAATCTAAGCCTCAAGAACTACATATCCAAAATTAACAAAAAGAAAAAAAATCATCATAATTTCAAAAAATTAACCGAAAAATATTATGAACTCTTTGTAACATGCACTTTCATTCTATGATCTCAAATTCACATTTTTACCCCAAAAAATTTCATTTCTAAGTTTCACATAAAACTGAAAACTAAAATTAGTTACCAAATAACTTTTGCTCAGTTTTCACTCTTTTTGAAAACTGAAATTAGTTATCGAACAAGTTTTCTGTTTTTGAAAAATAAAATTTAAAATTTAAAACTAAAATGGTTGTCAAACGGGCCCTTAATTTTTACTTTTGGGCTGTTTTGGCTAAGCTATGTTTTTTCTTCAGTTTGGTGAGTATTTATATGTAGACACGCATTATAATATGAATGAATTGGTAAAGACAACTTGGTTTTGGTTAATTTAAGAGAACTCTTTTGTAGGATCGTGACATTGTTATGTGGTGTTACAATTCATTCATGATATAACATATGTATTTTTTCATTAATACTATACTATTGATTGGAAAAGCATCAATCATATCACCTAGTAACATCGCAAATTGGTATGATGATAGTACCCAAGTATTTTCCATAATTCAGACCTAAAGTGTAATATTATACCTTAGTTTCAATTTGTCACCTTAAAATTTTTTTTTAAGAGAAATGTCACTTTAATTTTTCAAAATCCATGATTTGTTATCTGACTTTAACACTATCCAATTTTCCATCCATTTAAAAAAGTATTTTAGTCTTCCCATTTTCAAGAGTATTTTAAAAATGGAAAAATCATTATAAATAAAAAAAATACAAATTTATAAATAAACCCAATCCTAGACATGTATTTATAAAAAAACCCAAGCACTATTTAAACATAGAAACACACCCAAAATCAACCACAAAGTCAACTTTTTGGGTGTGTTTATAAATGAGTTTTGAGTGCATATAATGATGGGTTTTGGGTGTGTTTATAAAGTGTTTTGGGTGTTGGGTTTTTTTATAATTTCAACCTCCATTTTGGGTGTTTTAGTGAAACTCCCTAAAAAAAATCTCACCTTCCCTTATCCCATATGCACCACCAACGGCTCTAACCAACCCCGCCCACTTTGAAATCTCATTCCCCCGTCCCTCTTCCACTTCCTCCTACTCTCTCTCTCTACCATGGAACACCTACCCTCCACACACAAATTTCCTCAGCCCACCCAAACATACTCCACATTTTTCTTATTCTTTTTTCTTTTTGGTATTTTTCCATTTGCATATTGAAGATTTGTGGACAGAGAGAAGGTGGGGTCCTGTGTGATGTGTTTTGGGGGCAGGTGGGGGAGAAAAGGAGAGAGGTCTCTTTTTTCGCTCTTTTTTTTTTCCCCTTGAAAATGGAAAGACTAACATAATCTTAAAATGGATGGAAAATTGGAGGTATTTAAAGTCAAATGACAAATCATGAATTTTGAAAAATTAAAATGACATTTCTCTTAATTTTTTTTTTCAAGATGATAAATTAAAACTGTAAAAATAAGTTTAGGGAATATTTCTTTAAAAATCCCTTATATAATATACTCTTTATTAGAAAAGTATCCACCATGTCGCCCAAGTATTTTTTTTTAATTCAGACCCAAATTGTAAACAAACAAGAATTTGCATCATTTCCCACATTGCAACTGGTAGAGGTGGAAATCCCAGAGCATTGTCACGCACGCACTCATGGAGACAACCAAACGTGGACTCACCACTTATCTTTCTGGAAGAGAACTTTAATTTTGTGGGGGCAATAATATTATCTTCCAAATCCACAACCGCATAACAATTGGGGCAAACTCTGCAACACCATTTTCTTTTCTAATCAAGAACCTTGTGTGCGAAAAAGAACGACAGGCTTTTTGCATATGCATGCAGCAGGTGCCTCTAAGAGATGCATGTTCCACATGATCAAAAAGTAAAAAATATGCATGCTAAAATGTCCAAACAAAAATTTTATAGTTACCCAAATCGTGATTTAAGCTAAAAACTCAGCCATTTGGCTGGTTCGTGTAAATTTATGCATCACATTGATTTTTAAGATTGTCGATACAAATTATTACCTAAGTTCATATTTACAGTCTAACAACATAAACATTAGTTCGTATCAGTCTTACACATCTTCCTCCCCCAGTTAGTGAATCTACTTTATGCCTTTGGTAATGGTAATATATAAATCATTTATTTTAGACACATGCGTATGGTAGAGGATCAAGTTTATACATATAGAATCTTATAAAGTAAACTAAAATGGTGTTGACTTTGAATTGCTTTAATTTATGCAAAGAAGTTTTTTCAAGTTGAGATAATATTTAGTAACGGAAAGTCAAATCTCTTGCTTCAACAAATAATCACCTCCAGGAATTTTTAAGAGGCCAATGGCCAATGTTAATGATGGAAAACTTATTGCTTCAGAAAATGGAGAAGGTCCGTCACATATATGATATATCACAGGAAACCGTGTTCCCAGTTAAATTTAAAGTCAACATCAAATGGCTGTAACTATGTCATTTTCGCTTTCCCATTCAATCATGGAAGTGGTCTGGTCTTCTCAGCCAACTAGCTAGCAAGTGCAAATAAGAAAAAAAAAGGGATGATGCGTTTGGTTTTGGCGTTTTAGTGCTTGCCAGTTTCTCATTTGGAAGAGACAATTAACTGGCATATCAAATCAAAGACATATACTTCCGAGCACTACACTTTAATTTATTCTAAATTACGAGGAGTGAGATTTGAACTCGGGTGTAGAAGGGGAACACACTCGCTCTGGCCAACTTGGGTAACATGCGATTGATTAACTTAAACCAACGGCAATTATCTGATGTTAAAGCACTCCAAACTCCTATCATAATATAAATTCAAGACTCTATTATTAGGAGGAGGAATAAGTGTAAGTGGAAGCAAATGACTTTTTCTTTTCCCTCAAAAACTT